GGGGGCGCCTGACAACAATGCAAACTTTGATAAGCAGTTCTCGATAATCACTTCTCAGCAATTATTTGTTATTACAGTTTAACATTATAAATTTAACAAAAATAATATAAAACTCATATTCTGGTGAAATAGCCACATGGCAGTCAAAAACCGTATATTCCCTTCTTGTTCTCCCGCCCATTCGTGCATTCTTTCCAAAAATCGGGACTTTTTAAAAACACCATGGGACAGGACAAATTGTTGAAAAGCGGGACTGTCCCAACAAAAGCAGGACGTCTGGTCACCCTATTCTAGGCTCAAGAAGTTTCATTGGGGCAGGTCAAGATGGCAGACCAGAAGGCTCATTCAGCTGAGGTCTCCTAAAATGATAGGGGAAAAAGAGAACCCAGCCATACCGTCCAAGGAGATCTTAACTGGAGTCAAAGCTCAGGGAGCACTGAGAGGACATGGTAAGCTGGATACAGCGTATGATCCAGAGCAAGGATTCTGATGAACTAGGCAAGTCATTGCACCCCGCTGGGATGGCTGCCCTCCCACAGAGGTCTGGATGGGGAGGAAACCTTTCCAGAGTTTTCAGTTGTTGGGAAAAGCTATGCGTTGAGTGGAAATCTTGGAAGAGTGTGTGGGCTCAAACCGTATACAGCAACCAGATTCGAATGCCGGTTGGAGTAGCTTTGCCATAAAGATTAATTTTTCATGCACACAGGGAGAAACACAGAGTAATGACCCAGTAACTCAGGTTCAGAAATTTTTATACCCTTCTTTTAGAGGCGTGGGGGAGATGAGGAATATAGGTAATTCTGTTTAGGGGCAATAAACAGAATTTTATTTAGGGAGGTGAATAGATATTTGGGAAAATGAATAAGTGGAAGGAAACAGATTGATTCTAAAATTCACCTGACAGACAGGGATGATGTTTAAAATGACTTGAGCTGGGTCAGGTTATCTTCTTGATCTAATTTACTGCAATGTATTGTGATAACAGGGAGGGGAAGGGAAGTCAATTGTCTGTTGACAGGTCTGTCTGGTTATGTGGACAGAGGGAAATCCTCTTCCAAAGCTTTTAATTGCTACTTCAAAACACTTTTTATAGCAAGGTGTCATGTTCTGGGATGAAATTTCCTAAACTCTTTTATCCATTTTCAAAGGAGCTTTTGCCCTTTTTTTCTGTTGATTCATATGAGTTCTTTATATATTTGTCATTTAACCCACAGTATCAGTATCAAAATATATTTCAAAAAAATGAGGATTAAATGTAATCAGGGAAATACAGATATAAACAAAATATTATCGGCACAGACCATATGCTCGATGTAAATATTTACAACCTTGGGTTAGGCAAAGCATTCTTTCATATGACACATAAGTGCAAATAACCAAAGAGAAAAAAAAAGAGACAAATTAGACTTTATGAAATTTTAAACTTTTGTATAGTAAAGGACACTATTAAGAATGTGAAAATAGAAGAAATGGTAGAAAATATTTTCTAATCACATATCTAATCAAGGATTATATCCAGAATATATATCAAATTCTAACAATTCAACAACAAAAAGGCAAATAGCCCAATTTTAAAATGGATAAATGCCTCGGTGCCCATAGTCCAGTGGTTATGGCCCTGGCCATATACACCGAGGCCAAGGCCTGCTAAGCAACAATGACAACAACAATAAAAAAAAATCTGGGCATTGTGGCAGGCACCTGTAGCCCCAGCTACTTGGGAGGCTGAGGCAAGAGAATCACTTAAGTCCAAGAGTTTGAGGTTTCTGTGACTTGTGACACCACGAAACTCTACTGAGGGACACTCTGTCTCAAAAAAATAAAAAATAAAAATAAAAAGGATAAATTATCTCAAAGCTATCTTTACAAAGATATAAAAATCACAATAGCATGTGAAAAGAAACTCAGTATCCTTAATCGTTAGGGAAATACAAATCAAAACCACAACGATACAATTCCTCACCCTCTAGGACTGCTGCATTTAAAATGTCAGCTAAGATCAGATGCTGGAAGTGGGGGAGGGTGGAAGCTTCATCCATCAGCTGTGGGAATTTAACATGATGCAGTTGCTCTGGGATTTACCATGACGTGGTTATCATATGACCTAGTAACTATCATATGACCAAGATATGTAGAAATACATCCTCACAAAGTTTAGTATACAGATGTTCATATATCTGTATACATACATATCACTGTATATATATCTGTATATGTACATATCACTTCATAATAAACAAAGTGGAAACAACTCAAATGCCTATCTGCTGATAAAGTGTTCTGTATCTATTTAATTCAGTATTAAAAATGAATGAATATTAATACATGCTACCACACTGAAAAATTTTAAAACCACAGTGTTAAAGAGGAGAAGCCAGTCACAAAGATCACATTACAAGTCTGTTTATATGATGTGTTCAAAGTTGTCAGATCTATACAGACGGAAGTTTTTTCTGTAGTCAGGTAGGTCTATGGGAGTTAGGTTGTAATGAGAAGCAGAGAGAGACTGGCAAGTGCTGCTTATGGGTGCTGAGTTTCTTTTTAGGGTGAGAAATGCTCTAAAATCCTCCATATACTTAGATTTAATTTTCCTCAGTAGTATTTTGCAGCCTTCAAATATTTCGCTCAATTTATTCATGTGTATTTGATGTATTCAGTGCTACTGAAATTTCTATTGTATTTATGACTGAATATAGAAACTCTTTTTTTAATGTTTACTTTGTATGCTAAAGTTTCGCCCTGATTTTGCTTAATTTACTTAGTAATTCTCATGCTTTTTACACAAATTATTTTTGATTTTCTGAAGACACAATTACATCATCTGCAAACAATGATAATTTTATTACTTTTTTCTTATCCTTAAGTCTTTTATTTCCACTTGTAGCCCCAGGGTATGTATTAAAAATTCTAATATGATGTTGAATATAATTTGTGAAGGGGATATCACTGGATCCTTTCAAAAATCAAGAGGAACGTTTCTGTATTTCACAACTAAAACTGATGTTTACTGTAGGCTTTTTGCAGCCACTGGTTTTAATTTTAGTTTGCTAAGAATTTTGTTTTCTTAAAGTAATAGAGGTTGACTTTTATCAAAGGCTTTTCTGAATCCCCAGATATGATCACTCACTTTTCTTATTTTACGTTTTTTTTTGTTTTTTTTTCCTTTTTTGAGACAGAGTCTTAGTCATCCTGAGTAAGCAACCTCAAACTCTTGGGCTCAAACAATTCTGTTGCCTCAGCCACCCAGGTAGCTGGGACTATAGGCACCCGCCACAGTCTCTCTACTTTTTAGAGACTGGGGTCTCACTCTTGCTCAGGCTGGTCTCTAATTCCTGAGCTCAGGCAATCCACCTGTCTCGACCTCCCACAGTGCTAGGATTACAGGTGTAAGCCACCACACCTGGCCTTCCATTTTACTTTTGTTAATGGGATAAATTAGATTGATTTTAACAGGTTTATTGAGACATAGTTCACATGCCATACAAATTAAGAGTATTTGTTTTCACAGAGTTCTGAAGATACTATCACAATCGATTTTAGAGCTGTCTTCTTTAGAGAAGGTTCTGTTCATCTCTCTTCCCCATTGATGTATAGGATTGTTGGGTTTTTTCTTGTGGATTAATTGAAGTTCTGTATAGATCTTGGTTATTAAGTTTTTGTCTGATTCAAAATATGCAAATATCCTTTCCCATTGGGTAGGTTGTCTGTTTGCTTTGGCTGTTGTCTCCTTGGCTGTACAGAAGCTTTTCAGTTTAATTAAATCCCATTTGTTTATTATTGCTGTTGTTGCTATTGCCATGGCAGTCTTCTTCATAAAGTCTTTCCCCAAACTGATATCTTCCAGTGTTTTTCCTGTTCTTTCCTTGAGGATTTTTACTGTTTCATGCCTTAAATTTAAGTCCATGATCCATCTTGAGTCAATTTTTGTGAGTGGAGAAAAAATCTCGTAACAAAAAAAATGCCCTGGTCCAGATGGCTTCACACCAGAATTCTAAACTTTCAAAGAAGAGCTTATTGCTATAATGCAGAAATTGTTCCAAAAAATTAAGGAGGAAAGAATCTTCCCCAACACATTCTATGAAGTAAACATCATTCTGATGCCAAAACCAGGAAAAGACCCAATTAAAAAGGAGAATTTCAGACCAATTTCACTAATGAATATAGATGCAAAAATTCTCAACAAAATCCTAGCCAATAGATTATAGCTTATTATCAAAAAAGTCATACTTCATGATTGAGTAGGTTTCATCCCTGGGATGCAAGGCTGGTTTAATATACACAAGTCCATAAGCATTATTCACCATATCAACAGAAGTAAAACCAAAGACTATATGATCCTCTCAGTATATGCAGAAAAAGCATTCGATAAAATTCAGCATCCCTTTCTAATTAGAACACTGAGGAGTATAGGCATAGGCAACATATTTCTTAAACTGATCAAAGCTATCTATGACAAACCGAAGACTAATATTTTACTGAATGGCATAAAACTGAAAGCTTTTCCTCTTAGAACTGGAACCATACAAGGTCATCCTCTGTCATCATTACTATTCAACATAGTGCTGAAAGTTCTTACCAATATAATTAGACAAGATAAGAAAATAAAGAGCATCCAAATCAGAGCAGAAGAGGTCAAAAACTCTCCTTCTTTGCTGATGATATGATCTTATACTTAGAGAACCCTAAAGACCCAACCATAAGACTCCTGGAAATCATTAAAAAATGCAGTAATGTTTCAGAATATAAAATCGATGTCCACAAGTCACTCGCCTTTGTATATGCCAACAACAGCCAAGATGAGAGGCTAATTCAGGACACAAGTCCCTTCACCATAGCCCCAAAGAAAATGAAATACTTACGAATCTACCTAACAAAAGAGGCGAAGGACCTCTATAAAGAAAATTATGAAACCTTAAGAAAGGAAATAGCAGAGGACTTTAACAAATGGCAGAACATAACATGCTCATGGCTGGGAAGAATCAACATTGTTAAAATGTCTATACTTCCCAGAGCAATTTTACTGATTCAATGCCATCCCTATTAAAATACCAACATCCTATTTTCAAGATTTGGAAAAAATGATTCTGCATTTTGTATGGAACCAGAAAACACATAAGTCTAAGGCAGTCCTTAGTAATAAAAACAAAGCTGGAGGTATCACCATACCAGATTTTAGGCTGTACTACAAGGCCATAGCAGTCAGACAGCATGGTATTGACACAAAAATAGACACATAGACATTTGAAATCGAACAGAAAACCAGGAAATGAAACCAGCAACTTACAGCCACCTAACTTCGATAAACCTAACAAGAATGTCCACTGGGGGAAAAACTCCTTGTTCAATAAATGGTGCTGGGAGAATTGATATCCACATGTAAAAAGCTATCTGATATTTATAGACTTAAAATCCTTTTAGACTATTTAAAACTCTTTAGTATATTATCATTTGAAAATGAATGAATTGAAAAAAGATGTAATTGTCCAAACT